AGGAGGAAGATTAAATCTTTGCTGACTACAGGTGAACACACCTGTCCTGTGACTGAGTAGCACCTGCTCAGCTGCAACACTCCAGCATGTATTATGCTAAACATACAGCTGTCATGATGTTCATGCCTACAGAGCAGTTTCTTTAGGGAAGCCTTACATCTATTATTATGCAGCTTCTATGTTATGTTTAAATGAAACTTTGAGAAACATCCACAGCATCATCTCCTTAACTTTTAATAACTTTTTGTTTATTTGACTGACTTGCTGTTTTATCCAAGCAAGACTCCAATCATGCCAGACCTTCAAACAGCCAGGTACCATTCAAGAATGCAAATGAGAATTGCCTCCACTATACATCTTTATGGAAAACAGCAAGCTTTCCCTGACATGGAAAGGTGTTGACTCCTACAGATTTAAGTTGCTTTTGATGGACACTATTCTCACAGCATGAATGCAAAAGCAAACTTTATTAAAATTCTCCAATTATGAATATTGCTACTAAATAAAGAACACCACACTACACATATCTAGATCAGTGTTTCTCAACCAGGGCCCCAGGAGATCCTTTGAAGGGTGCTGCAGGAAGTGGTGAGATAAGCAAGTACGGGCAGCTCAAACTCTCCCTGTCTATCTGGACCCTCTGCAAGCAAGCAGTTTTTGAAGTGGGATGCTGCTCAATTCACAAAAAGGTATGGAGGGGGGCCTCAAATCTGAAGAGGTTGAGAACCACGGATCTAGATATACTTTAAATGATTAGGGCCCTAACAAATTCACAGCACAAGTGGGTTGTACTGCTGCTCCTTTAATCTTGCATGCTTCCCCACGTGCCCTGCCCTTGCCACTGACTGGTGGAGGGGGCCCCACTTGCAGCTCACTCCTGATTGGCAGGGAAGCAAAAACCACGGTTTTATGTGGCACTGTTTTTGCCTCCAATCAGCAGCAAGCAGTGGCCCCCACTGGGCCCCAGTGGTAGGAGGCAAAAATGGCACCATATTTAAAACCGCAGTTTTCACTTTCCTGCCGATCAGAAGCAAGCTGCAAGGGGCATCCCTCCACCAATTTGGAGGGGAGGGGGGCGCGGCACAAGGGGGAACCTGCAAGATTAAAGGAGCCCCAGCACAGCCCACTTTTGCCATGAATTCAGGCCCTTTAATAATCCAAGCAAAAATAAGTCCTTACAACTTAGAATCTATACACATTAAAATCCTAAGACTTTAAACAAGTGGCCAGCCTGTTAGGGAGAGCTTATTCAAATTCAGGGACTAGATTCTATGAGGGGTTGGATCTTAATTATGTCTACAGATGGAAACATCAGCAAAGGATGCCAGAAGGATACAACTTAGCACTGAACAATTTTTATCCCCGCTTCAAACAAAGGTTTATAATACTTGACAGAAACTTCAACAAATATAGTCATAAAGACAACGTGCGTGTGATCTTGTCAGTCGAGTTAAAACATAGACCTGAACACTTAATCAAGATCTGACGTCCTAATAACGGAATAGTCTTCTCAAGAAGTTTCTCTTACCTATAACTCAATTTATTTTCCCCGAAGGAAGTTGTGTAATAATAAAGAGGTCACCGAATGAAGTCGATCAGCTATACTAGTACATGGCCCAACAAAGCTGATCCACTTCACTGGGTGAAACAAGTCACCTGCTGTCTCACCCTTTGATCCTGAAGAAAAATGAGCCACACGTTCCCTGCTTGAAGAGGCATGACCAGATTCCCCTGGACGCATCTCTAAGCAGGCGAACCTGGAGTTCCCCACTTGCAGAGGAGCATCTGGAGATTTCCTGGGGCATGTCTTTAGGCAGGGAAAGCTTAGGTTACCCATTTGCAGAGACCCATCCTGGGGAATCCCCGAGGCATGTCTCTAAGTGCAGAAACCTGGAGTTCCCCACTAGCAGAGAACAGGCCCCAGAGATTCCCTGGGAGCATGTTCCCTGCAAGTGTGAAACCCCATCTCTCCTTGCTTACAAAGGTGCACCCCGGAGACTGAGTGGCACATCTCTAAGAAGGAAAAGCTATGCAGGCACTCCTGGGGCTTGAAGGACCTAGTCGTGCACAGGAATTCCCAGGGCACAATGAATCAGGCTCCTCAAGCCTCAGGAGCACCTGCTTGACTGGCGGCTCATGCTCTCCCACCATAAGGCTAACAAACCACCTTTCATCAAGGTCCACAAACTTGGGCATAGACGTCTAACTGCTTTCCCTTTAGACTGCCATAAAAACTGTTAGGGTGGTACAAAGGCAAGGTCTAGCATACCCTTAGCCTCACTTCTGAGAATATGGCCTAAATTAAGCCAGAGGCCTATTAAAACTACTAGAATGCAAGCTTAAAATTATTCTAACTTAAACTAACAGCCTACAAAGGAGAAAGAGGGCACAGCACCATCCCTCTTATTTGTCCCCAAGAGGGAACAAATAGAGCAGGGACAGAAAGTCTGACAGACCCTTGCATATGGTGTTTAGGGTGAATAAGATGCAGAATATTCCTTATACACCCACGTCAAGGCACATCACTGCCTTGCCAAAATTCAGGAAGTTTCAAAGTTTCAACAAATGGGAGAAAAACTATTTCCACTGGGCCTTATAATCTCTGGAAAATGCAGCCACTAGAGGGCAACGTACTCACAAACATCAGAAAGGACGGTACAGAAACTTGTGGCAGCAACAGTCATCCTTTAGAGGGCAATAAGATTACATACTTCAAAATGGATACAAAAATCACATCTGAGAGAGAGGCAGCAAGTATATAACTGAGTAAGAAGAGGATCATACAATTAGTATATTAATTAAACAGGTCTGAGTTATTCTGCTCCATGTTACACAGTGTGGTACTGCCACAAGTCATTCTAAGTATTCTATTAAAATTCCTCTATGTGAACAATGATCTAATTTTAATAAAGGAGAGTGGAAGAGAATAAACTCCTTAACAAATCTTAAACGTGGGTGTTCTGTATGTGAATGAAGTATGTTACTGAATAACGGGGGAAACAAGAGGGGGAAAGAAACTGAAGTGGAAGTGATACATCATTTCACCTACGCAGAACTACAAAATGATTATATGCAGATAACCATCCACAAGAACAGTTCAATGCAAGTTAGAGATGCAAATCATACACATTAGTATTAAGGTATTGATCCCAAAACTCCTTGAGCAATAAGCAGCACAAATGGGGAGGGGGGAAGAGGGGTGCACTGGTTCTCTCAAAGGAGACTAAAGTGAAGCAACTATGAAGATACGTATCAACTGAAGAGAAAGATCATATGCACCTTTCATGTAATTCTCCACAAGAAGCAAGTCACTCAATCTCACTGTGTTCCCTACTCCAAAGAAATCAGGGTTAAATAAAAAAATAAAGGGGGGG